TATAAATAATCTACCACGGCGTCGCGGCGGCGCCGATACACTACCTCGTTCGGAGTAGTAATCTGATATTGAGGATGACGCACCTGGAGTCGAGTCCCTTTTATAACCTGGGCCTAATACCTATAAAAGAGACTCTTTTATAACCTGGGCTACAAACGCCTTGAAGCTTACGTTGGGACTCAACTCCAGCTGCGTCATCCTCAATGTCAGATTACGCCTGGTCCGTATGTAGTCGACAATGTTCTGATCCTTCTATATTTATCTGTAAAGTCTTCTGATTGATCGTGTGTTGTAACAAATTGAGTCATGTTGGAATACGGGGCAATGGTCTAGTGCAGGCATGAGAACTATAAAATTATTGTTTGTCAACTAACTAGGCCTTGTGGTGTATATGCCTTTGACGGCCTCGGTGGTCTAGCGGTTGAGCACACCGCTTTACTTCCAATGGTCGCAGATTCGATTCCACGCACGGTAGAAATATTTGTATTCATGAATATGATTATTTGAATCGGTCTGGTTATTTCTATATATAATATGTAGGTAATTACAAAAAACAAACTAGGTATTTATATCAGATACCCATAACAGAAGCTTTTATTATCTTGGGACTAGATGGCATTGTGTTAATTGTCCAAGGTATTAATATGTACATATGGCACATATACCATATGGCGTAGGTCGATAGACAAAAGTAGTCGAGAGATAGCGTAGAAAGTTGGCGTAGTATTACTAAATGGAAAGCCCTTTGACCTCGAATCGGCGATGAGTCATGGAGTTCTAAACAGCTTTTGAACAAAGTGTATTCTGTTTGCGTGAACACAAAGAACGCTAATAAACAAAGGTAAATGACACAATATACGTGTGTAGTGGTGATGTAGTATGAATAAAATACAATGTATCAAAACACCTATTCATCAATAGGGTGTTAAAATAGTCTAGCTAGTTTTTACACAGGACCGAAATCTCTCTCTGTCCCTTGGTCAAATATAATTTCTCTTGGTATACAACAACGAAGTGCAACATTTTCTACAACCTTTCTAACTACAGTAGAAGAATACAAACACGTCACAACAGATTCGATATGAAAGCCATCTGGTCAACCTAATAATGGTAAACTTCAAGCTCTTATGCGGAGAGATCAATAGTCCTTCTTGATATGTTAGTGTATTTTTATGAATACCTTTTAACGTAGATAAATCACGTCTTTATCTGCGTGATATTTAACTTTTGTTTATAAAATTGAATAAAATTTCTATAATACATGTAGCCTAATTTACTCTTCATATTGTCTATCGAGAAGTAAAAGTCCCGTTAAAATTGTTCCAGCCGTTTCAGAGATTGAGCAGAACAATTATAGTAACAGCTGTGTGCCGCCAAATTCTCGTTTGAAATGTAATATGTGAAGTTCATAATATGCATAAAACATTCATAGAGTGAACTCAGCTTACAAGGTTACTGTTACGATATTTTGTGACATGACTAACCTTGGCATACTGTAATACAAGACATAGGGCGGTTTAGACGGGTTCTATGTTATTTATAGTATTTAAGAATTGATTGATATCTTATGGTGAGCTTAAATAATGTTTTTTTGTCTATACTAATGTTACATAGAAAATAACAAATATTTTTAGTCCATTTGTACCTAATTAAAATATTTAAAAAAATTCATCATTGTCCTCTGCTTCTCCTTATTCCATTTTGGTCGGGCGTAATATGTTTTTCTCTTCCATTCATCCCTGTTCGCAGTCATCTCGTTATTTACTCCCTATCTTACCATATCATCTTTCAAACAATCCATCAATCTCTTTTCGGTTCCTCTGTCGTTATAATAAAAAATCATCAATTTGATACATTTTTTTACCTATTATATATTTGTTATTATATATTTATATATTATTATTTTTGTTGTAAGTCCTTAAATTGTCTATCTCTTAGGACCATTAAAACATAATTTACATCAAATACCTAATGCCCTTGTGGCAACCAAGCGTAACAGACATACCTACAATCAGACACGGTGCTGATCTCTAACATCAAAGTTTAATGAATATTCATAAGTTGGTTGCCTAGACAATACTTGACTGATTGACGTATGTTATAACTAGTTGTGGCCTGTGGTTGTACTACGGTCTGGTAAGTGTTTTTACCTAGGGTTTTCGAAAATTTATTTATTTATCATTGCTTTGACTACTTTTTATATCACATGCCAAAAACATGTCATATTTCTTAATCTTCTAAGCAAAATCAACCGAGAGACGAGAGTAAGTTATTATTATTTTTGAGGTTATATTTTGAGTATTTTTTATATTACTAACACTAAAAGAATGTCATAAATTTTAGTCTTCGGTGTTTCCATAGACCGAATAAGTTATTACTATTTTTGCGGTAATATTTTCTATCAAATATGTGTTACGTCTTCTTGTGACTGAGTTTTATTTCTTAATTCTATTTATTTATTCGGGGTACCTGTTATTGCAGAAAAGTGCGAGTCTATACTAATACTATAAATTCAAAAGTATGTCTGTTTGTCTATCTAGTTATTGTTTTTGTTACAACTAAGCGACTGTCTGTCTATCAAGAGATAGATAGACTTGTCCTTATTTTAAGAAAATCTACGAACTTTAAATTAAAAAAAATCATGTGATAGACAGACTTTTATTTTATCTAGAAAAGAATGGACGAAGTTGTGGATAACTAGCTCACAATAAAAAAGAGACGATATAATATATTATATGCAATATAGAGAAGTTATCAGAAGGTATCATTACGTATTATAATAATGTTAGAACGTAACGATGTTGGTATGATAAATAGGTATCTAACAGCTATGAACATTCTCGATAGTTGATTAATTATAAAAAAATACACGGGTCAGACCGTTGCATAACAATATTACTAAAAGATACTCGTGCCTACTTAGGAAAGAGATTGTTAACTAATAACACGTTTCCGGGTAAACATTTGGTTCTTGGTGTAACCCAGATGTTTTTGCAATCGTATGAATTAAAAAGTAAAAGTTTAGTCAACTTTGTATGTTATTTATGAATTTATGTAAAAAGTATGCTATGTATTAAGTTTTAATTGTTTTATATAAAATAATAATGGTAACCCAGGATAATTTTACATAGCAAAAGATATATCACTTGTAAGCTTATTAACTGATTGGATGCATTTTTTTTTTTGTATTGTAATTTGTAATATACATACTTATAAAACACCCAGCCCAATAGGAACAAAAATAATAATCATATTAGACAACTGATACAAATACATTTATTAGAAACCTATCACCCAGACATATACAAACAGCCATACTTATGAATACAAATTTTTGCGTCAAGTGAAGAATCGAACCTTTACCATCAGAAGTAAATTGGTGAGCTAAACCACTAGACCTCCGAGACCGTTAGAGAGATTATCATTGATGTACCAAATTTATATTATCCATTTAGGTTTTTATTTACTTATACTCAGTAGATAACACTCATTGAATTATTTTTACACATTTATTATATGATAGAATATTACGTTATAGGATATTTTAAAATTATAGGTAGAAATTATTACCAACTAATTTCAAAGCGAAGTACCTATCTCAGTCTTATTCGCAATTGACTTTGTACAAAGTCTCCCTCCTTATTTAGATACTGAAGTCGTGTATGTGTAGGTACTAGTGGTCACAAAGTAGTCTAAATGCGACCATAATTAATTTAAATCATAAATTTGAACCTTATTAAGGTTCTATTGTATTATATACTTTTACTACTATACTATATGTAATACTACCATGTGTGTGTGTCAAAGACACGATACTGTGTGTAATTTTTTTTCATTGATGCCTAATTTAAAAAAAAATATTACATTCTGCACTCCTTTATTTAAACTATAAGTGTGCGAAATTTAATACTCCTCCATCCGCAGAATTTTCGTTAAAAGAAGTACAAAGTTTTTGCTTCACGTATAAATATTGATACCGAATTGAACTTTCTTCAATTATTTACACAAGAATAGAAGTAACAATTTCCGTGAGATTTTTCCACTGTACCGTTACGATAGTTGCCAGCAATATTATTTAATACGTACGTACGTCTCAACTAAACATCTAATTACAAAGTCTAATTAAACGACAAAAAAGTCGTCCATTAAAACCCACACACCGAGAAAATGATGTATCTCATAAAATTAAACTGTCTATCTGTCTTGTTTTAATTGTGAGTAATATGAATATTGATGACTCGCGTAAAATTATATTAATATTTTATAATATGACAAATAAAATTGTATTTATTTATTATTACATATATGTATGCTATATTTGTAATTAATATTTTGATATGTTTTATGTTCATTTGATTATATGTACTTATATGAAATTGTTGAGCGAGAATGCTTTTGAAGTGAAACTGAGGAAATGCTTATTGGCATACTATTTTTATGGTGTCATAGAATGCTATAGCTGTTATCTGTGGCAATGTATATACTATAATAATTCCAATGAAATATTAAATTTCAACTGTATAAATAAATATTATTTTAATTTCATTATTGATACAATTATTATATTTAATATTGTTCATTGTATTCTAATTAAATGGTAATAATAATAATTAAAAAAAAATGTAAAAAAGTTTTTACTGCACATTATTATATTTAATATATTTACCACTATTTGTTAATTTATAATTATTGTATTCTTATTATTATTATTTATGGTATTATTTATTCATAATGGCTATAAGAGATCGTAATTATAACGGCTAGAGCCAAGGTTCGAACCCCTAGCGGTATCTGCAGACTAAAGTCGATGGCCTTCAGCGCTCCCGCTGGTTTGGTGCACCCTCTATACTCGCCCATATTATCGTTTGGCGAAGTTATATAAAACCATGACCAAATTTACTAACTGGACGAAAGCTAAAGAAATTGTAACTCTACTTAAAGTTAACATGTAATACCTATAATATTTCACGATATTAAGTTTTTTATTTATTTCTTTTCAGGCGTCGACAATCGACGGCCGACGGAAGGGTGCTTGTCTCTTCTGCCAGGAGTACTTCATGGACCTGTATTTATTAGCAGAACTCAAAACCATCAGTCTAAAGGTAAGAAAAGTCTACACATATAATAAAATCTAGCTGTGCCCATGGTATCTCCCACATAAAATTCATGGCATGGCATCTTTTTATTGTTTTGACGTATAAGCTATATTATTGTAGTTTAATTAAAATCCATTCAATAGTTTTTACATGAAAGAGTAACAAACATCCATCTATACATCCATCATCCACATATACAAACGTTCGCGTTTATAATATTGTGACATTTTTGGACCATATTCCCAATCATGAACCAATTTTAAACCTTAAGTGCAAAGATTTACAGAACATAATGAAGAAAAACTCTACGTGACACTGGCGGTCTGCATACTCATTCGTTCGTCACATTTAATTCTGCATTAGTTCCATATATTTAAATTGTAAATAGCAGCCGACGATTTTTGCAAATACAAGTGGTTTCCATATTCTATATTCGCACTATATTATCAGTCACTTTGAGTCATGTTAGCTTATATATAACCTAATCCCGACAGTAATGTCTCTATTTTACGGAAACTTAACATCATAAGCTGTCTTATCATATCGTTCTTTGGTCATATAGCCCGGAAAGAAGGTCATAACCTGGAGTAGTTAATGGTGACAGGCATGGTGCATGGCAAACGTGTTATAGAGCACAGCCCCACAAGATCGTCTGACCAAGTCCACTCATTGCTGAATACTACATTCCATTGTGCAAAAGACCGACACAAATGGAGGAATGTAATGAGAGAGAAAGTCTGCGTGGCTGTCAGGAACCCAGGAATGAGGGAAACTACTTGAGGAGGAGGAGGAATCGCGATAGTAAAATATTTCTACCGAATTGTCAAACATTCTTCTAAGTCGGTTAAAACAGCCTCAAACAGCTTTTCTTCACTGATAAAATTATATGCATTCCGTTATATAATACAAAATCAACTTTGATTGAAATTGCTATTCATAATTATAATGAAGTTAAGTAATAGGCTGACTATATTTTTACTACTTAGTGGATTTATATTATTTTGTTTAATTCCTTTACAATTAGCATGTGTGAGATCACAAATATTCGGTGTGGAAACTTGACTGTTGACCAGACCTTCTAATGGCGATCAAATTCCGACCGTTATTGAGTTCTACACACATATTGCGACACCTGTTTCGCCTCTGAACGTGGCATCATCAGACATTGAATAGAGTTCGGATTTAGCTTGGAAGCCTAGTGTTGACTGTTCAGCGACCTAACTGCGACTCTACTTTTTTTTTGCGTGTCGAATATACTGAATTTCAGGACTACCATCAATAAGTATATCTCCATTTGTATATTTACCACATTCATTGCAATCAACAATTTAATTTCATTTTGTGTTTCAGGTCACGACAGTAGACATGCAAAAGCCCCCGCCAGACTTCCGCACCAACTTCGAAGCGACGCACCCACCTATACTGATCGACAACGGTCTCGCCATACTCGAGAACGAGAAGATAGAACGACACATCATGAAGTCTGTACCTGGTGGACACAATTTGTTTGTACAGGTGCGTTAAAGATTAGACAGGCTCTCAAAACGTTGCATTGTAGTTCAGTGCCGCATCCTTGAAAATCTACCGTATGGAGATTAGAATATCTTCAAATATTTTATTGCTCCTTTTTAAATTATTATATGTATTAAAATTTAATTGGAAACTGTTACAATACATTTAGTTTTGAAAATAATCTTTGAATAATCGTTATTACTGATACGGATTAGTTGAAAATTAAAATAATATACATATACAAAATATCAATTAGGAAAAAATTCAGCATATTTTGAATAGCGGTACTAAGATAGGCTAACAATATCAGTACTTATACGTAATATTAATAAAATCACCAGTCTTATTATTAGTCTTATTATATTTAATATTATGGAGTTCACAATATTTCAGGAGTGTCACAAACGCTATGATTACCGGTAAACTGAGGAGCAGCAAGTAGATGCTAAATAAATAAAATTATGAGTACACATATTCGCCTACCTTCACGTCTTCGTTTGTAACTTTTATTAAAACTCGCTCGTTATGAATATTTATTTTTTTGATCCAATTCGAAGGACTATTTTAAACGTAACTTGACTTAATTCAATAATTGATTATTTTCAGGATAAAGAAGTGGCGTCGTTGATCGAGAACCTATACTCCAAATTGAAGTTGGTTTTGGTGCGTAAAGACGAACAGAAGTCTGCGGCGCTGCGCGCGCACCTCGGCCGCATAGACGCGCTGCTTGAACGCAGAGAAACTAGGTAACTGTTATTATTATTATAAATAATTATGTAAACATAAAGTAAAATACAAAACATAATTTATAACAAATTTCAGTATAAGAAAAGCAATATTTACGAACAACTAAATAAACTATGGCTTCTGGAAATTTTGCATAGTAATGTTCTATCATTTGGTATATGAACGAAAGCCTTACTTCCGATAGTCGCGGGTTCGACTGCTAGTACAGTGCAAACATCTGTATTTATGAGTAAAAGTCTGGCTGTTTTATGAGTTCTATGTTTCTTGTGTTTATATGTAGTGTAGAATCCATAAAACAAGCTCTGCATAGTTTGGGACTAGATGGAGCTGTGTGAATAGTCTTGAGATATTGTTATAATTTTATTTTTTTTAAATATAGGAACTACGTAATTTCTGTGGTGCTGTTCAAACATATACATATAAACGATGTTAGCTTTCCAGTTGTAAAATAAATCGTACTCTACTACATAAATATTATGGTCATATTTCAGGTTTTTAACGGGCGACACGATGTGCTGTTTCGACTGCGAGCTGATGCCACGGCTACAGCATATCCGCGTCGCCGGCAAATACTTCGTTGACTTTGAAATTCCGGTTAGTATTACAAATCATGTGTTATAGGCCCCAGTATAAAAAATTTGTTTGAGGGCCTTTACGAAGGGTAAAGATTTCTCACAACAGAAAAAAGATTGCATAAATTAAAAGAAATATTTTTTTATTAATCATAGTTTTCTATATGTCACTATCCAAAATATTTACAAACAATTCAAATTAAATACACACTCACCTTGCCTTTGAACGCACGCTTTACGCAGGAAAAAAGAATTTTTGACATTTGTGAAATAAAAAAAAATCGGAAGTTAATTTTTGCTTACGCACGTTGGGGGCCCCCGTGGCCCGGGCCTAAGCGACAACTCTGTCTCTATTACTATTATTATTTCACAATTACCCCTCCGCATAATTTTCTTAAAAAGATATCAAAAATGTTTTGCTTCATGTATTAATCTAATCTATGCAAATAAATATAATTAAGATTGAAATGCCTGTTTGTAATTTCAAAGTAACAGCTTTTAACTAAATGTATATGAAAGTAAATATATACGGTACTTACATAAATATAATGCAAAAAAAATTGTCTCTGTTCTTGCTAATCTCTGAAACGGTCGGATCGATTTTGACAGGACTTTCACTCGCAGATAGGTAATGTCATAAAGATTAACTTAACTACTTAATAAAAAAAGTATAATTCCATGCAGACAAAGTCGCGGATAACAGATAGTATACTGATAGTTTGTATTTAAATTATTAGTTAGCACATATACTAATGTAGTGTGTTTATAAACATTTCTAGACGAGTTTTCGCGCGCTCTGGCGTTACATGTACCACATGTACCAGTTGGACGCGTTCACACAAAGCTGCCCCGCGGACCAGGATATCATCAACCACTACAAACTGCAGCAGGTAATATGATATTTCCTATCCACTAATACATGATTGGACTATTAATTTTGAAATTACGGGATGAGGTCATGATATCTTAGGAGTTAGGATTGGCAACGTATGGGTGATATCAAGGGCGAAACTTGATAATGTTCGTAGTGCTGTGCATGAATATAGAACTTACCACTTACCATCTGTGGTGGGCCATTTGCTATTCCAATTACATAAAAAAAACTTTAATAATATTTTAATATGCACATAATGAATCCAACATGTGCGTACATTATTTGATGAATTAATAGTTATTAGTAGTAGTGGTAATTATTAAACGGTGTTTCCGTAACCGGAAGTCACCCAGAAGTAAATTAACAAAAAATGACTTATTGTCAGCTCACGACTTTTGTGTCTAAATATGATAATAATAAATCTGTAACCTTAAAATATTTTGGGAAATTAACCCAAAATTTTAAAGGTATGCATTAATCCAATTTAATATTAAGAGTGCAATTATACTCCTTATTCTACGGCTATACCTATTAAGAAAGTGCTGGTATATGATTATCCGATGATGAAATGATATGCCAATGGTAGATATGTGAATGATGGATAAAGAGAGATCAAGTTTTTACGTGGTAACGGCGAATTCAACAGAATTACAAAGATTTTATTAAATCACATTAAAATTGTTACATTTTTTTTAATGGGTGATAATGGAATGATATGCCCTCCAGCGCTTATGGTTTATAAGGCAAGTTTCATAGGGCACCAGTGGAGGATGATAAGAGCATAAGGTTAGGTCAGTCAGCCATGACTCAAGTCATGGTACATTGCTAGCAATGGGGTCATATGGTCATTAGTCCACTATACTAACGCCCTAACTGTTGGAGTAGTTAGGGTTACCTGTATTATTAATGATGTAGCCACTTTACTAAGTTTACATATTATTTACACTCTGTGGTTTTGGTATGATTGTATTTTATTTGATACTAGAAATATCTCCTTAATGTATGTAAGTATCAATTATTTATAACCGATTTTTTATTTCAATGATATTAGTTTATTACATCAATATATATCTTATCTCTATATATAATGTAATATCTACTTAATGCGGATAATCCAATAATTTTTATTTTACATATTAATAATTTGTATTTCCTTGAGACAATAATATAATATAATTTTACTCTATTCTATATCTTATGTTCATAAACACACGTATTACTATCGCCTGCAGTTATCAGCAAAAGGTTTGGGATTGTCACCAACACTGACGCGGCAAGAGAAAGAGACCAATACGGATTCGGTACGTGGCGGGTGTGTCGTGGCGTTAATGATTTTGCTGTCCATTGCTTAGATTAATTAAATGATTAATAACAAACAGTTGTGGGCGGCCTACTGACGGAGCAATGTACTAAATACAACGGCTAACAATACGACGATCCAAATTAACATCAACTAATTTAGTATAATATTAATTTGTGTATATATATTTTAGTAGTAACATTTTATTAGACTTGTTTCTAGACAAAATTTATTATTATTCTTTCCAACTTAAAGTTTTATATTCTACAAGGAAAAAGAGGGAGAGACAGATAATTATATATATTTTTAAGCAAAATTTAATTTATCTTTATACTGGATAAACTCAAAAAATATTTTAATATATATATATATGATCCATTGTAAACTGTATTATCGGAGAGCAATAGGGACTGTAATTTATTTTCAACAAAATTAAATATCCTTATAATATTTGCACTCTTGCGAAGTAGAAGTAAAACTAACTACCTGGCTTATTATATCAGTCTCAATCAGAAATCGGCATTATAATTAAAGGTCTATGTAAAAAGTATGATTATTTATTTTAGATTGTTATATATGTTTCAAATATTTTATGCTTGCTTTTCTTAACATTTTATTAATATAGGACGCACACAACTTGGTTTCGTTTGATTCTGTAATTTGATGTAATTAATCTAAGTGACACTAAGTCCATCCCTTGGAAATATCATATGGTAGCGGACATACATTTTGGCGCGGTTGTATCACTTGTAGCTTTTGACATTACATTATTCATTAAATCGAAAAATAAAACATCGCATTCGAAATTTATAAAATCTAGATTTATCATACCTTTCTTCATCACTTTATTTAAAAAAAAATATATATAGTCTTTAAAAAATAAATCTAAGCGTTGTTGATTTTTTACTTGTTTTTTATTATCATTGTAAAGTTTTTTTTTAGTTGTATAGTATGCTCTTTTTTTTATTAACTAACAATGGTGTATTGTTTTTTTAATATTGTTTTTTATCTTATATTAATAACTTTCATCTATTTTGTCTCAACCCATTAATATGAAGTCTCTTTCAATCCTATTAAAAATAAATCTCAACAACACCACATATTATGGGTTTATATAATACAATCAATTTTATTTACAATAATTAACCTAATCTTATATTATTAAAAGTGGTTTTTTGTTTTTGTATATATCATTTTTTCACTAATATTATGTTGAAAAATATATGTATATTTTACATTTTATGTTTAAATAATTATGTACATTCAGTATTTATTTTTATCAAATTACTCCAAAGTTTATATCTCATGTAGCTATGATAAATATATACTATACGTTACATAGTTTTTGTTTGTACTACTTGCTGTTTTAATTTTTCAATGCAAGAATCCATTATTGTTGTCACTGAAAACTGTATCAAATTGAACATTATTGCATTTGGAATATTTAAAATAAGAAGTGTGTAAGTGAAATATCTTCTCTGTAAAGAACTTAACCTATGGCTAAGAAGATGTTATTGAATATTTTCTTAATTCAAATACATAAGGTGTACTATATATAAAAAGTGTATGAAAGTTCTTTAATAGAAAACTTATGTAAAAGAAATCAATGGTTACCATATATGGGGAAAAATTATATAAAAATATGAATGTTGGAAACTCTTGTGACAGATTGGTCCATGCTATTATATTACCGCACAATATCTTCATTATCAAAAAGATTTTTTGATTTGAACAAGACTCAAGGATTGATCCTCGTGTAGGTCCACAGTCTTTCTTGAATATACTTAATTTGGACATTTGCACCAATCTCGCCTCTTATTCTAAATATTCTAATTTATCTCATTTTACAAAGGTACATTACATTCAATGTTATGTTTATCATTTGGTATTTTTACATATATATGTACACTTTTTTTTATTTAGCACCACTTAACTGACATTTACATATATTTACAGGCTCTAAAAATGAAGAAACACGAAGAACTCGAGACACCAACGTTCACCACCTCCATCCCGATCGATGTCAACGACTTGAATAACACAGAGTAACTGTTAATCTAATTGTGTACATTACGTGGAGCGAAAATGAGCCTTGGTACAATAAATATTAGGCGAAAAATCGATTTATGTCCACCGTTAAATAAAATTCATTGCAGCCGGCGCAATGCTGGCAACGTTGCATTTATTGGAATGTTAATTGTCATCTTGACAGTAGTTCACCTTGCGATAAAAATAATACGGGACTCGATCAGCTGACAGCTGTTAACTTTAGGGGCTTATTAGACTGGTCTAATATCTACGGGGTCATATTATAAACTAATTGAAATTTTTTTATCACTTATATTTTTTACAATAACTTGTATAGTTTAGGAATAGTGAGAACAATTAGTTTTTATTTTTGATCTTATATTATAGACAGTGTAATGGCCCCCTTAGGCATATAAAATTATAAGCAATTAACTTAATAATGCACAGGATATTAATGTGAACTACTGTATTACTTTTCTGTGCTGTACCTTATATTGTCCAGTTGAATTGTGTTATAATTAATTGGAATTTAAATACTTAAAATATAGTACCGAGGGTTGACCTTCCCCGCCTTTGTTCCTACTCTTCCACGCCTTTCCGCTTCCATACGTCCCGCCCGTCCCAATAAAGATTAAATCCTTTATTCATAAAAACAATTCTACGAATCGTTAAATGGCTCGTAAGAAAGGGATTAAACGTTTCAATAATTATAATTAATATAGGTTTATAAAGCGTTTAGCGTTTTTATGAAGAAAAGGGATATATATTTTTGTTAATTCAATGTCTTAATGTTGCTATATTATCGTCTATGAGATTGGATATCTGGTTTGGTGCAAGTTTTTATTGTTGTGTTTGATATATAAGGAGAAATCCACAATCGGGCTTAAATCACGTTATTTGTACATTATTGGAAAGTATAACTAAAGCTATGTCTAAATTATTGTTTTATATGTGATCGTTTTATCTTTATAAACATTTGTTATGACAAGTTCACATTCACTGTTCATCACTAGCTAATATTATCATCAGCATTGGACGAGTCATATGTATTACCACCTAGGCCAGAGATTCCCTAAGATTTTTAGGCTTATGTACTACTTTCGGTAGTCGAATTTCTGTGTACTTAACTATATAAAATATCTTATAGCGTTTTATAAATACATTTAGTATTTCAATATTGAGTATGCATAGGTATTATGTACACAGGTACTTTCTGGAAGGTCAAATTGTGGGCAAATTTATTATTATTTATAGATACTTATTTACACTTCATAGACCCCCATAAATACACAAATATAATCCCCTCGCTGGTTGTATTCGACCTTTAGGCGACTGAATTTATTATATCAACAACACATACGATGTTTATGTGTTCATTTTCTCATCTTAACCAAACTGTGAGTTGACAGTGGCCATTATATTCTTTTTCGCTATAGTTTTGATAATTAACGCCCTTAGTTATAAAAATCATAAATTAAAAGGTTTAAAGTACAGTTCATATAAATAAATAAATATATATGACTATACTGGCAAATGTCTGCCATTGTAGTATTTCGAATTACAAAATTTTACATTTCTTTTACAGACCGAATAGTATTTTATAACTAAGGAGGTACATTTAATATTTTTTTTACTTATAGATATCTATTTTTTATTATTTAATTGGTATGTTAATTCGGCAGAGGTGCTGAACAAATCGAGTCAGTTTTTCTTAAAACTTTTCATAACTGAGTATTATTACCTCCTGTTTTAAAAAACATGGGTATATCTATACCCGAGTATTACTTTATGATTTAAAACATAAATGACATAACATAGAAGTTAGACTTATGTTCAGTGTTCAAACACAACGAATAGATATTCGGAAATATTTTGTACATTCACAATAGGGTGTAAGATTGGTTACAGATTTTCAGTATTCATTTATTAGTTCTTTTTGGACTCCCACTAGTTTTAGGTTAGAAATAGAAACAATACGCCTTCTTTTTTGTTGTTATACCTCTGCCTTCAATTTATATAGTTTTGAAAGGACCATTTAAGTTATTACCATGTTTTTAGCATTTTGTGAAAGCTCTTGCCTGCCTCAATGTTACCTACCTACCTATAGGTAGAATTATTATTAAGTACTTATTTCTTTATATAACGATATTGATAATCAAGATTTCAAATGTTTTCAATAGAGAGTTAGGAAGTGAGGCTTTAAGTTGGACCACCTATTTATATTATAGACATTTAAAAATTCAAATATTCAGAATTTGCAAGATTTTTTGTGAATTTTAGAATGAATAAGTTTTTGAAAATGAATACATTTTTTGCAAATAATAAATATAGTACACACAATAGAGACAAGGGCGAGAGACGATCAACATGTCAGTTGGACAATGTATAAAATATTAATACTAGATAATAATGTAAAATAATTATTAAGAAATAAACAAGGATGAATATTATTTTTTTTTTGTTTGTTTTATTTTTTTTTTTTCCTTTTTGTTCCTCTTTGTTCAGTTTTTTTATGAATATTATTTTCATTAATATAATTTAATTGTTTATGAATGGTCACAGGTGAAAATTAATAATTACCAGATAAAAAATGTAGCCTACTTTCATATCAATGTGTCAAGGCTTAGTATAGGTGCGGTATAACCTTTGTCTATGGTAAGAAATAATTATAGAATATATATTTTAGGAAGTTTATATTTGTAATACATTTTTATAATTGCTAAAAATAGTGATAAATACAGTGGACCCGCGGTAATTCGGCCCCCTTGTAATCTGACATGGTCTATTATTAATTGTTTTGACAATATACTTCAGAGTGCATACATATATAGCACAGAATCTTATCACTGTATCTGTAATTTCTCGGATTACAAGATACTCTTTTGTAAAAAATTCCGGACTATAGGGCACCCTTAGGCAGCACTCTATAATCCGACAAATTTGATGGTCTGACACTGCCCTGCAAAACGTTTGTCGGATAACCAGGGGTCCACTGTATATATATTTGCTCAATTTTTCTATACCATGAAAAAGCGGAATATAAGCATACTATTTCCCATTTAATGGTACTTGCCATTATACAATGTAATATAATTAAAAAATTGTGTGTATGTCTGAGTTATGCTTTGTGCCTTGCTAAGCAAAAAACTAAGTGCATGTGATAATCTAAAGTGTAAAGCTGCTTTTTACTTTAATAAACAAGTTTCATTAAAATCTTTCTTTTATTTATATAATACAATACATACATGTAACAGATGTAATTGTAAAAAATAATTGTACTAAATGGACTAACTAAAATTTCAATTGTACTAAATTATTTTTGTCATCACAATTTTTCTATGCCTACATTTGCTAACTCTATCTTTTTCTTCATCCAATCATTTTTATAAACATCTCTCGATAATGCTGAGCTGAGGAACATATGCGTAACATATGCAGTAAGACCCCAAATTTTATATTGATTAGCAATAAAAACTGGTAATATAAATCCATTCCTAAACTGTGTATGAAACTGGTTTTCTGGATTACATAAAATGTCTATGGGCACAGTAAACACTTCGGCTACTTCTTTATGGTTAACTATTAAGTCCTCTTGCTTCAAATCTTGTATACAACCTATAACTGGGGAGATGAGTATTTTGTTGTCGCGACCCGGAAACCCTTGCCCTACGCCCCACACGTCTATTTTATCTGGCGACAAACCTATTTCTTCTTTGGTCTCTCTCAAAGCCGTCTGCGTAGGTGTTTCATCTGCATCCGTTTTCCCCCCTGGAAAGGATATTTGGCCACTATGACTATTCAAGTTAGATGAACGAACAGTATACAGCAATGAAGGAACACAGTCATAGCGACACAGCGGCACTAATACGGCCGCCGAAGCTTCAGGGGCCTTTCCCCGTTTGTTATACTTAGGAACTCTGATTTCTTTGAGCTTTGATATGCAATGTTGTCGGGAAGCTTGACTAAATATGTTTTCTATACAGTAATTAATTTTAGCCATTATTATTTCTATATTTATAAGCACAATAAAATTTAAACAAAATAAAAAATAAAGTCTAAAAAATATATCCATAAATTGCCAGCTGTTTTGTCATTTAATTCATTTCAATTGACAATGACATCACCATTATGACAATAACAGCGCAGATAATTCTTGATAGTTGACTATGCACTAGAAAAATTATAAAAAATTTAACAGATATGGTAGTGGTAGGATACGAATAGAAATAAAGCTTCACGTGTTGCTTGATTTTTTAATTTGTGTTTTCCTTTTTCTAGATATTACAATGAACATACAGTTTATTGCCTAAAATTTATAAATTGATAGTTCATTGCATTGCATATGCAATATCATCCAAATTCATTGACAATTGACATTGACAATTAAAACATTTTAAAAGAATGTATTTTCTTATATTTTCTAGACTTTAGACCCTAATTCTGCTCTTACGAAGAACTCAATTATAAATTATATTTAATTATTTTAGGATTTTTAATAGCCATGTCTTTTACACCGCAAAAACTACTGTCTAATGCAGTCCGAGAGAAATGTTTGTCTACTTTAAAGGAATTACCTTCTTATTTTGGTAAGGATCCAAAACCATCTTTACATGCAGCGGTATTGGTTCCCTTATGTGTCAATAATTCAGAAGTGTGCCTCTTATATACACTAAGATCGTCAAATTTGAACAGTCACAGTGGTCAAATATCATTTCCAGGAGGAAAACTGGATAACAATGAAACAGTTTACGAAGCTGCTGTTAGGGAGACTGAGGAAGAAATTGGTATTAATTGCAGTGAAATTGATATTTGGGGCAAAATGCCACAGGTTCAAGGAAGAGAAGGGGCTATATTGATCACACCTGTGGTGGGCCTTATTAAGGACTTTGATGTCAAGAAATTACATCGAAATCCTGATGAAGTTGAAGAAATCTTCACAGTTCCTATATCTGATTTATGTGACAGAAACAGTCATGGCAATTTTGAATTTAACAACTTTTTCTTACCTGTATATCTGCATAAGAAGCACAAAATATGGGGTATCACCGGATTAATCACTCATATGTTTCTACAAAGTCTTTTGCCAGAAAAACTTTATGATTTTAATTTTTATAATAAGAAGTACACATTAGATGAGTTAATGCCATCAAAACTATGATACAACAAGTGTATAAATTTTGTTGTGTATAACAATTACCTTAGTCTAATTTTCTTTGTTTTTAAGCAACCAATATCATTTTGCAGCATGTAGTCAATTTTTTAAGTTTGAATACAACTGGTTAGCATATTGAATGAAAAATTGGTTGCTAATTAGTTCAAATGTACTGAATATATTTATTAATGGAGTATATTAATATATTCTTGTAAAATAAAATCATAAGATACAATTATTCATTTTCATCTGATACTTTACATGGTGTAGTACAATAATTCTACAAATATTTTTTTACTGTATTTTTTAGTTTTGTTTATCCTTATAAGAAAGGCAATGAGTCTAAGCCCATACAGCCAATTACAACTGTAATGTATATTTTATATTTTGCTGCCACTGAACTGGAGAAGTATTCTATTATTATATATGTATAACAACAATGATATGATCAGTTATCTTAAGATTCTAAGTGCTGAGTTTATTGTTGTGTCAATAATGTCCTGTGATATTATTATTAATGTGTAATCTATGAATTAATATAAACAATTGCATAATACTAAGTGCTTTACAAATGATGTGATGTTTTGAAATTGATAATATATTTTTAATGGGATGAAATAAAGGGTATTAATATTTTTATTCTGTGTTATGTAACAGATAGAAATCTATTGTGAATATTTTAAAACAAGATCTAATAACAAGAATATTATAATGTTGGGAATTGGTTTATTTATTGTATGACAGTACATTATTCTTTTTTACAATTGTTGTATTTAAAAAATAAAAGCAATACAATTATAAGTCTTATTTTTATTTATATATATATATATATGATAGCGCAAACTCAATACAATGACTATTTTCATTGTTAATTGATTAATTTAATTATATTCGACCTGTATTGATCAAATCACTGTTATTTAATATTTAACATAATGAAGTATTAAAGTTAAGGATTATTATAAATATTGTAAATAGCGCCATCTAGTACTTATAGACCGAACTAAGTTGTTTGTCATAAGATAATCGTTACGCCTGCTTCTCTCCCTACTACACTGAATTCGGTCTATAAATACGGAGGTCGGTAATTGAATAACTCTCTTTCTGTGTGTAACCGTTGCACCGAATACATCTCTGGAATTTGATAAAAGTGTTTATTATTTAATTATCGTAACGATGAGTTGTCTGGTATCAATCCCCGCTCTAACATCAGAAGAGAGGGATGACATCACGCCCAAGAAACTAATAACAATCTAATAAACCATCGTGTCATTCACTGACATTGAGAATAACAAATCATTTATTTAAATAAACCTACATTGAAGCACTATCTACCGCCCATTCGGAAATTTGTCTTATGAAAAATGAGCAAAAAACTTGCGTGTTACTCTTTTGAATAATTTAGTTGTAATTTTACATTTTTAAGCTGGACGATAAGAATACAAACTACCACCAGCACCAATTCAATAGACTCACAATAAGAAATACACAACTGGTTGAGTAACTGAATAAAAGTAAATCAGTCATAGTGGTTAGAGCAGATTAATGTCTACTCAACCATAATTTAGAGAGCCCAATGATTCGTCTCACCATTCCGCCACGTGTCTCGACATGTTAGTGAGCATGACTATGACGCTCAACCACGTCATAACTATTTAGAATTATTATGTGATAGTTATTCATAACATTAAGGATAAGAACATCTTCTTTAAAGTATTGACCGCGTCACTGCCAAAATAATTAGCAACAACGAATTTAATATTCTACAAAAACAAATAGAACTATACAAACGGAAACTTAATGAAGTATATTTATCGGATTTCAATCCTGATAATCGTAGGCTTACAATAGTAAAATGGTGCCAGCAAGTAGATTCATTGATTGAATTGTGAGGTCGTTCTACAACCGAGTATAACTACTATGATGATAATAATTTAATTACTTTAGATCAAAAAAAAAAGGGGTATGAATAATTAAATTTTATAAAATACAGCTTTCAATTTTGAATTACTAAATAAAATATAAAATTAATTATACAAAGTCCAAAATAACGGGCTACTCCCTTTTATAGCTATAATAACAATAAAAGGTTCTTCATTCTTCTACCATTGAAAAAATAAAATACAATCAAAAAAATATTTCAGTCAGAATAACCGAACAAGCTTCAAAAAATAAAAACAGATTTGACATTAGATATGGCAATGGTACCCCCTACAAACTTAACGATTTCGTTTTCCGTAACAATTACAAAAAAAAAAAATAATAATAATAAAAGACAAATATAAAGAAATTTAAACAATATTAGAAACCTGTTCACAACTCGTCTGGTCGGCTCGCGTGCTGCTCGTATAATGCCTTTTTTTAATCAGTCTGTGACGAAAGTGGCGGCGCCACTGTCAGTATAAACTTTACGCTCTGCTTAATAAATTACATTAACGTAATAAAATATTACAAAAATGTTTTTATGTTAAAAAATAAGTAACTAATATTATGTGCCAGTATTAGTGATAGTTTCTACAGTTTGTGATAAATACGTTTTGTAAAAAATCCAAGGACTGATACTGTTTTGTGTTAAAATCGTATGTGTAATCAAGTTAAATTGAAATCACAACCGTACAATAGTTAAAACAAACAAAATAAATACTAGGCCATTATAATACATAATCTTCACTAACAGGCAAGACATTACGAACATTTAATTACAATAATCTCTTTAATGTGGGTGTGTGGATAATTGTTATCAATTCAAATATCCACTATTGTAAGGTACTGACATAAACCGTTATAGCACTTGAAATGAATTCGTAAATTAGAACAAAATATTGCAGTAGATCTGGTTCAATGGCAACGAGTCTGAATTTAAATATAAATTCGCAGGATCTAATCCTAACAACTTATCTCACTTTTTGTGAAGCCAAAACAATTTATCAGCAATATTGTGTGCATTGTTATTATTCTGTATAGTATTTGGGCTGCTTATTACATTATTAACATATTACGAAGCTAGATTCAGTGTAGTCTTACCTTCAAAGTTTAAAGAGCAAAACTGTAGACTAACTAAATTGACAACATTTTAAATAATTACCAAATGAAATTGCTCCACATGACTACAGTCCCAGCCTACAAGAAAGATATGAAGGGAAAATTAAAATATATACCGTCTTTTGAAAAAAAAAAAAAAAAAAAAAAAAAAAAAAAAAAAAAAAAAAACCTGGTTTAGCACTAGTAATAAACCATTGACCAAAGTATTAAAGAAGTTTATCTCTAAACTGTGATTCGCCTATGGTCTAAAGTTAGACCTGCGATGCCCCTAGTTTAACTGTAGTACTGAGAAGTTCTCTGTTAGATCTGGATTCGTAATAATGTTACGTTTATTCCAAGTATTAACTTCAGGGATGGTTTAAACCAGGATTATTTAGACACGTTTCGTCAGAGTTTTAACAGATTTTTTGTAATAAGACCGATAATGTCATTAAGAGGAATACTACTCTTAAAGCATAATTAGCGGAAATGTCTGGTTATTGTGAAAGAATTTGTTTAGAAAGGGATCGCTTACAAGAAATCTTCCACGCATATGACCAATGCTCATATGAGGCTACATTGGAACGAATATCTTTCCTAGAAAATAAATTGAGTGAAGCTCAAGCTCAAATTTCTTTTCTCATATCGTAGAAACAAGTTCTTTTTCAGAAAAATACATGCCATTTATATAGTGAACTGATTACTTGCAACAACATCGCGGGATCTGAAAAAGCTAAGGCGATAGATTTAACCGCCACATCTACCTGTTAATTCGATCAAGCGAAATTTTATGGGTAGTAATCAAACAAATAAATATGTCAAGTTAAACAAATAAATAAAAAAAAAAAAAAAAAAACGCAAATTTATTCAAGACACATGAAGTAAAATTAAAATCTATATCGCTCAAAATGAAATAAAAGAGTATTTATTAGCTATAGAACATTTAGTTGGGTTAAGCCCTAAATAACTTATATCGTATAATCATTACACATCTGCAAGTTGTAACAGTGTTAATGGGACTAGAGAGTCACAGTCTATGACATTTCACTCTGTACAGGATACTTTAGCTGAGACTCAACCAATAGAAAATGTAATTGACAACTGTCAACTAACTAGTTCTTTTAAAACGTATATCATCTCAGATAGTTTGCGTATACATATGGGTAAAATATTACCAAAACCCAGAAAGTATTTAAAGTAAATGAAATGAAAGTACTGCTTCCCGGGTTTTTTATCTTTGGCACATAACTAACAAAATAATAAATGAAAAGAATTTTAACAGTAATAGTACTATTATACTTTGTTTTGGCAATTCGTGGAATGTAAATAAACAGGATTATAGATTGTATACACGCACTCGCAAATATTATTGAGCAGGGTGTAGGTAGACTAATAATATCATCTTTGCTAATATTAATGCATTGCATCAGTAAAATGATAAAATATTGAAACTTAATTTGTGATGGCACAATTTGTCAGTGCATAGTGAAAAACTGTTATTTTTTTTTATACAAATAAAATAGTTAATAATTGTTATGACAGGAGGTACAATACGCCTTTATTGTAAACAAAAGTTGGCCTATACTAAATTACTAGTATATAATTTATTTAACGATAAATTAAATGTAGTTTAACGAAGTACTGTAATAAAACGGCAATAAACATAGAATGTACTAAATAGTATACCAATAAATGAATGTATTGTATAAACTGTTTATTTTGGATAGATATAACTTTCTTCTAAAGATTGTATAGATAGAAATTATTTAATTTCTATTGACTAGATTGACTTTCTAGTACCTGTAAGGGCCTACTTATAAAAATAAATATTTCAATTTGTGTCACCGTTCATAGGCCGCCATCTTATGACAATACTTATCAACTACCCTCGAAGAAACAAAAGTGACAACATCAAAAACAATAAGAGTAGTGACACATGAACACATGAAGTCGATCCTGAGTTCAAAACTTCACAGATCCATGATAACCGTGATAGCTATACTGAAGAAAATTAGCAATGAATAATGAAGCCACTTGTCTGTACGGGTGTAAACACTTAGTCTGACAACTGGGCACAACTTTTTGCTATTATTATTACAAAAATATGAAAGCCACTTGTCTGTACGGGAGTAAAAACTCAGTCTGACAACTGGGCTCAACTTTTTGCAATTATTATTACAAAGATATGAAAGCCACTTATCTGTACGGGTGTAAACACTCAGTCTGACAACTGGGCTCAATTTTTTGCTATTATCATTACAATTATAAGCAAGCCACTTGTCTGGACGAGTGTAAACAACTGTCTGACAACTGGGCCAACATTTCTATTAAGTTTTTCTTTAATAATAGAATTATAACATTATTTCTGTTACAGATTAGGATATTCGCATGCTCAGAGCACGAGCAGCTCATCAGGATAGCCGTGATAGCGCAAACTCAATACAATGACTATTTTCATTGTTAATTGATTAATTTAATTATATTCGACCTGTATTGATCAAATCACTGTTATTTAATATTTAACATAATGAAGTATTAAAGTTAAGGATTATTATAAATATTGTAAATAGCGCCATCTAGTACTTATAGACCGAACTAAGTTGTTTGTCATAAGATAATCGTTACGCCTGCTTCTCTCCCTACTACACTGAATTCGGTCTATAAATACGGAGGTCGGTAATTGAATAACTCTCTTTCTGTGTGTAACCGTTGCACCGAATACATCTCTGGAATTTGATAAAAGTGTTTATTATTTAATTATCGTAACGATGAGTTGTCTGGTATCAATCCCCGCTCTAACATATATATATATATATATATATTTCTGATGTGTTGTTTTGCATATTTGTAGTTAAATAGCAGAATAGTCTATATGTATAACAGAAGCATTATAGTTTTGTAATACTACAAAAAAATAAATTAAAATCCTCTACACAGCTCCAGCTAGTTCTAAACTATGCACATCTTGTGCTTTCGGTACAAAACTAATAAGTATACTGTATTTTTTTTCTGGTATATTCTGGACATAAATTGAATTTAATATGCTATTAAAACTCGTCCATTCAAAATTCAAAATTCAAAATATCTTTATTCATGTAGATCTATTACAGACTCTTATGATATGTCAAATCTACCGTCAGTTCGGAATGATTTCGAGATGAGAAGAACTGACAAGAAACTCAGCTCGTATTTTTTTTTTAATGTTGTACATATTTATAATAATACTATTTCATTTAAATTTAAATTTGGGAGAATAGAGTGACCACTAGCATATGCTATATAAAAAAAATAAAAAAACTCAAAAAATCTAATCAGTGTTCGCAACAGACCAGTCCCCACAAGCAGCACCCGTACACGAGTATGACGGATGAGCCAGCCATCATTGCACTCAACCATATTAGAGGGAGCACATCGACCCGGCCCACCACGCCGCCACAAGTTTGAACTTTATAGTGAGCATGACTGTTTCAAGTTACTCCACTACGTCATTTATATTATTTACAGCATAAACTGTACCAATCACAGTTTTCACCCATTACATTATTTAAATTACAATATGTCATTAACATCAATAAAGGATTATAAAGTTAGGTCACTTAGGCCCTTGTGGAGTTATGGTATCCAGATGACACCGCATGTACCATAACATGATATTTTTTTTCTATAAGTGATTATCAACAGTCTGGCGATCGGATGGTAGGTAGTCCGTCATCTATATACATACATGGACCCACCACTATAACTCGTGTGGCGTGACAGTTGTGGTTAGTGGCGTCAGCAGCTCGAGGTATTGAAATTTGAAAACTTTGTTTTCATTTAATTTATTTAAGTTACCTATTTTGGTTGTATACAAATGCAACTAAAATAATATAAAATAAACAATAATTTTGTTTAATAAATTGTAATAATAAATGTTTGTAGCTGGAATTCACTTCTGACCGGAAGCCCCTTCCGGTCGGGGGGTCGTGGCTATTTGCCACCCAATATTTAGTACACCCGCGCTATCTCGCGATGCTATTCAAAACCACATTTTTTTATTGAGGGGTTTGGGCTATTGTCAGACCTGTAGCACTGGGACCTACAGAAATCTATCATAGGTACTCGTCCTTTTTCAGAATTCGCTACCTACACCCGGCAGGACAAGTATTTCCAAACTAAGTTTCCATAACTTTAAAGAAAGGCCACATCATTTACTTACAGTAGACCACCAGTCCTCCTTTCTAACAGCCCCAACCATACTTATATATACTACTATAGTATCCCTAATTATAATTTATATATCCTTGTAAGTTACCTTACATAAAACTAAGTAATTAAATATCTATTACTCCTACTTATGCAGGTAGGTACCAACTAGAAAATTAGCGACATTAAATAAAAACAGGTGGAATGACCGATATGAATATTTTATATGCGCTGTTTGTTTGCTTTTTAGTTGCATTAAGCGGGTACCTATTAATTTACTAGCGCATGTCCATTTGGCTTTAAATGAATATTATTTTTATTTATTATTTTCTTCCATATAAGATTAACCTAGACTATACTTCCATATTGACCTATTGTGGATACTCGTACTACCCCCACTTGACTCTAAATACTGCGAGTACGAAAATAGCAGCCTCAAAAAAAATTCTAGTGAAACTCCGATGAGATGAGTGGTGACAATTCGCCGTCTGTTACATTAAATGTAAATATGAAATTGAAATTGTGTTATTGGTATTTTGCTTATTTATGTAATTATATAATTTTAGAAGTACATTAGCATGTTTAGATCTATATTATTTTTTTATACTTGTTAAATTGCACCGCCATACTATCTCTGATCAACGCGACGGTTGACTGGTAGAGAATGCCATCAGGCATTGAGTTCGACATGTACTTATACAATTTTGTGTGCAAAAGAATAAATAAATAAATGTGGGTAAATGTTATGAACATTGACTGCGTCCACGATTAAGACAGTTGACAATGACTATCTGTCCCATCTGGTATTACCTACAGTTGAAATTGTATGAGCACTGAAATTACCTAAATTTAAGAAAATGTATACATTTCGATTAGTAACAAGAATCATTATTTAAACCGATTCAATTGACACCACAAATAGTATAATAACATTCTTATTATTTACAAAAATATCTTTCGTAACTTTATTAAATCTTTGTGATGTAGAATTTGACGGATTATGTTATCTTCGTGTGATCGCGGGTTCAATTCCAATACAATGGTACAATTATTGATCATATATTTGTACTGGCATAGTAAAAATATCTAGATCATTTTCATTATTTGTAACATCTAATTTTTATTTAGCAATGAGGAACCCCAATCGCTCTACCTACCAGCGAATATTCTGTAAAGTAACAAACACGTAACTCGTTAGGCAGTTACGACTTATTAAGCAACAATTATATAGATAAGAAGTAAATAGATTGCGTTTATTATCCTGTCTGGATCATCGAACGGAAATGAATCGATAATAGCTGTGGGCAGACCTGACTAATCCAGTATATAACACATCACACTGCTGTCGCGAATTGAGAAAGTTTTTCGCGTCCGACCGTGTTTTAAAACAGAGCCGTGCCTCTATAAGACATTGTAATAATGGACTACAGAATTTGTAAGTTGAATATATTATTACTTAATAATAATATCATACGCAATTAAAAAATATACGAATTTTACCCGAAGTAGAATTTGGAAAAATCGCACATATACGTCTAATAATTTTTTTATGGATTACTATGGATTGATGCACCCGTCTGCGATAACGGTTTACGCTAGCGGGACACCAATGGAGGATAATAGGATGAACATGAGATCAGGTCAGTTAGCCCATCGTGACAAATTAACCAGGAATTTATCACGATTGTTTCCAGCGGAAATCAATCTGATATGATATATTTCTAGCAATGGTATCAACAGTCCGCATTACTAATAATCGCCTTCCTCCTGTCTCACCTAATTCAGCCAACAAGCAGCTTGATTTGCATGGTTTGTTTCGGTTGGGCTTAGACTAATCTTAATTAGGCAGTGAAATTACTGGATAAGAGACGTGCCATCATAGTCACTCAGAAATTATGGCGCATAAGTGGTCTCACGAGGTTACATGAGATGTGTGAACAAGAGCAGCACTATATTCTGCCAATACTTATTTACCTCATCCGTTCAGCTGTTCTATAGTGAATATGAAAACTGAGAGATTATTCACTTTTTACTTAGTAGATTATTTACTTGTTACTTTTTACTTAGCGAGTATTTACTTTTACGGCGAAAGTAATATATTTTTCAACAAACTATAAATATCTCGAAGGTTCGAACACGCCCCATAGTTCCTATGGTCATGGGCTCGCTTGCCGCTCAATCCAAATATTTGTGTTCATGAAATTATCTATTTCTTTTATTTGAGTTTTCTATGTAGCTATATTTATACCATGTAAAATGTATTTAAGTATTTCAAGCTAGATTCCATAGCACCAGCTCTGCTTAATTAGATAGCGGTGTGTGAAATGTTGAGAGTTATTTGTATATACCATTATCTCTATAAAATCAATCCATTTCCCTCTAGTTCAGTGTTTATGTCATGTAATTATGTCCTTGCATATATTTATGCCTTGAACCGCTTTTCCTACTTATATGGATTTGACGATAAATATATAGGGGTAATTAAATTTTATTTATTTATCTGCTATTGTTAGGTATAAACTATAATTTAGTATCATGTATTTTTAGTTTACCGACGTCTTTCGAATTAGATTTGTTATCGGAATTGACATTATCGGAAATATTTGAACTTACGAACTATTACTATATTATATTACGAAAGTTTCTTTCACTGATTATAGTGAAAGATATAAATATAACACCTACGTCGATTTATTTGCCTGTATAAACAATCATACAAATCATACTCATGAGCACAAACGTTTCTGCTGTGCGAGGAATCGAACGCATTGGAAATAAAGCAGCGTGCTAAACCACTAGACCACCGAGGCCGCTACAAAAGTAAGGATAACATGTAATGTACGCATTCCTTTTGGTGCGTAAAATTCTAAGTAACTAAGATAGTCCGACGAGTAGACTCTCCGGGGATGTCCGACTTCCTCACTTGACAGTTACGTGTTTGGCAACCTAAATCGCAAGTGACAAACAAAGAAATTCCACTATGTATTGATCATTGTAACAATAGGAAGTTGTATCAACATGCCTAAGTGTCTATAATATAGTGTTTTATAGTGCTTCATCAAGGAATTTTATGTTTTCATTGGCACTTATTAGTTTTTTTGATCTGATTTCGTGGTTGGTCGAGTTTTGAGTCTCAGACTATAAAATGAAAATATGTACTGATATTTTTTAAATATGTAGGTACAGTAACTATTTTGGATATTAGGCATTATTACTGAGCCATCTCTCTATATTCTGGTAACATTGACACAGTCCGCTAAAAACATACATGAATATGAAACTGATGAGGAGAGAAATCATTTGTGAGTCTGCTGTCACCTACATTGGAGATGGTGAAGCATATTCATAGTTGACATTACCAGTCCACACGATTGTATTATTATCTAATTGTCTATGAATTTAAGAGTTTATTATATAAGGGTGAATTTAAAGGATTTTTTATTGCAGAAGTGTTATTATAATAACACTTCTTCAATAAAAAATGATTATCAAATTGAAATTTTCCTTTATTTAATATATTTAGATTTCTAGTTATTTATAATTTGTACTATGTAAAAAAACACATAACACAATAAGCTGTTATGAGTTTCGGCAAAGTTTTTATAGTGTCTCTATTAACACTTCCACCATGTCTGCTCGACCGTCACATGTTCCCCTTGGAAATCATCGTAGTTAATTTCTAGTAAATTCGCCACACGAACTGACCTGACTTGATGCTCATTCTATTATATTTCATTGGTGCCCCGCCAGCGTATACAATTAGGGCAGGCGGGTGCACAGTTCCATTATTATTCCTAAAAAAACGATTACTGATTACATATTATGGTATATTTCTTTCAGTGTTTTTCCTGATCCTAGCAGTTGGGTGCATCTACGCCGAGCAAAGTACGACGGCACTATGCGCTTGTCCGAAGATTTATTCTCCAGTCTGCGCATCCAATGGCAAAACTTACAACTCCCCTTGCGAGTTCCGCTGCGACGCCGAAGATATCAAGTTGAAGACTGGTGCAACAATCCATATAGTCAGAAATGGAAGATGTAAAAACGATTAGCACTAATACGTTTTTCTGTTTCCACAATTTTTCGATAATAAAACCAAATTAATATCTGTATATTATTTCATTAGTGGATTTTTCAACTATTTATCAACCGTGGGAGATAGAGATAGAGAGAGAGAGACCTTCTATTTTGTACATTATTTATACTAGTTGTCCCGGCAAACGTTGTTTTGCCTTAAAATAAAAAAAAAAATTTGCGTTGGACTACCCCTAACATTTAGGGGGATGAAAAATAGATGTTGGCCGATTCTCAGACGTACTCAATACGTGTGAGCGTTGAGTTGTTGAAATTTCATGAGAATCGGTCAAGCCGTTTCGGAGGAGTATGGGAACGAAAACTGTGACATGAATTTTATATATAAGATACTATATATTTGTATATACCTCTTACCTTAACACCTGCTTCATCTAGTCAGTTTGATTTGTAGTCTGAATTGTTTTTTTTATGGATGATAATGGAATAGTGCACCCGCCTGCATTTTTACACTCGCGGGGCACTAGTGGAGGATGATAAGATGAGCATGAGGTCAGGTTAGTTAGCCTATCGTGCAAATTAACTAAGAATGTATCACGATGGTTTCCAGGGGGAACTGCGTGGTCAACCTAACATGGTACATTGCTAGTAATGGGGACATTAGTCCACGTTACTAACAATCCCCTCTGCATTTCAGCCGAAGGGTATAGGTAGGAATGAAATCAACGTATGCTTCTGGCATAACACCGTACAAAAGACATGGTATGTTTGTTATTGTTCGAATGGCAACGTATGAATGGTACTACTAGAGTCACATGATGATGTGATGTTGTCGTGTATGTAGGCGACAGTTACCACTTACCATCATGTGTGCACACAGCTTGTTTATCATTACAGATAAATATAAAAACAAGTTAGTTACGTTAAGAATATTCTACATATTCTTAACGTAACTTGTATATTTATACCTATTACAATAGTTTCTAAGTCGGTTTCATATAAATTTCAGGCTAATTTTATGTGTGCATAACTGAGGTGATAGCATATGGAATTGACTTACAAACTGAAATAATAATGATATAAATAATAATTTTTATTTGTTCTCAAATAGTGAGCTGTTACAATTGCTGCTTATAATAAAAATTAATCGAGACAAAACTGCTACAACTCAATAAATAACAATGCGAAATGAATTCCCAAGGAACATAAGTTGAAATAAATATCATATTACTTTCTTTCTATGGAAAAATAGTTTTTATTTGAACTTAAAAATTATAAATACATAATAAATTATAAATTATACCTTATAAATATAATATAATAACTAAAATATATTATTAAAACGAGTTCCTTTAGGTACGGGTCCGAAGATACAGCAACAGGCAGCGTTCGCCTTTGAATGCCAGCTTTCTTTCTATTACTTTAAAAATATCTAAGTCAAACATGAGTTCAATAACATTGTTTTTAACGTTGCATTCATGTAAGTAAATATTTAGTATGTAGATTGCCTTACATTGTTATTGTATGTATTAAGATTAGATTCATCTTATCGGTCAAGTATACTTTCATTGACCCTAATCTTTCTAAATTATCTACCTACAAAAGTCTAATAAAAATGGCTTCTATCATCTCATTTTCATGTATTCGAAATGACGACCTTTGAAATCCTGCTAATAAATCATTAAACTACGACGTTTAATAGGGGAACAATTCAAAAGTTAGGGAAATTAAGATGATTTTTGTCGCTATGGTGTTACGCTTCAAAACTTCAGTAGTTTTCATTTGTACATATCTTGCTAAGAGCATAAGCTTAAAGATAGCTGCAAGTTTGCGCCATTCCTAATTAACCGTAGTTCCTTCATCTTTAGGGTACCTTTATCTTCCGTAGAGAACCCTAGAAACCAACGTGTTTATGTTTAGTAGCGTGTTTATCTATTACGTATCAATGCGGGGCGGTGACTGAACTTTTCTAGTCTATTCTATGATTAACACATTAGAATTTCATAATGAAGGTCGACCATTTATGCAAATATCAAATATGTGAGTGAATTCCCCTATATGTACTAAATGACATAATCAGCATTTTGTTATTAGCATTGTTATGTATCTCACACTAAAGGTCCCCGTACGTTTTCGGTAAGAGTCGTACGATCCGCGCGATTTTTATATACTAGCACCGTAATAATTTTGAAAGATACTAAAAATTATATTATTATCGTTTTATGTTTATTATTGATTGGCAGCCCGCCCCGGCTTCGCATGGATATTGAACAAAAAAAATTAAAAGCAATTGAATTTCATTGGATCGGATTTAGTTTCCAGAATACATCAGCAGGTCAGGAACGCGTCTCAGTATAAATTAATGAGAAATATCTACAATTGTATTTATTTACACCATGGAGTGAGCAAACTTTTTGACCTATGGGCCTATTTTTTTTTTCTTTGTGGGCCGCACTTAAATAAACTTATTAATCATTTACATGAATAAAATATCGCGCAGTTACGGCGATTTTGTAAAGCATGTGTGAACAAGTCGCTGACAAGTGAGTAACTAGTCAAAAAAAATTGTTTCGGTTTCGAAATATTTTATGATAATTAATTTTATATCGATGGGAGAAAGTCGAGAAAATAAATTCTATTTCATAAATATCTGACGGGCCGCAAGCGGCGTACAGGCCGCAAGCGGCGAACAGGCCGCGTGTTGCTCATCCCTGATTTAAACCATATTATTTAATAAATAAAAAAAAATACATAACAATGAGCCTTTATCTTCGTTTCAAGCATATATGTGTGTGTTTACCACATTATTAATTTTTTGTAACTACCATAATTCATAATGGTACAGCACAATTATGAATTATGGTACTTACAAAAAATAGGTTATTATGATCAAATAATGTGGTAAATACACACACATATGCCTAAGACGAAGATAGAGGTTTTACAGGAGGAAAATGTTGAAATAGGTATCGTGACCCTTTTGAATCAATATTTTGCGTTTTTGCGTAAATCGATTGTTACATAAGTTGACAGCTTGAAAGTGGCAATGTATATATATATATACCATTTGATCCCTCATGCCTTGTTATCCCTGAACTAAGTAGTCACATCTCCATACCACGGAATTTCACTGCCGTAACTCACCCATCAGCCGAAACTTACAAAGTACGCTGCTTGGAGGCGGAAATAGACGAAACAGATGTAAATACCCCATTCGAACAAAGTATACCTAGGTAAAATTGTCTTGGTATACCTGAGAACTAAGTTGTTACGTCTCCATACCCTGAATTTTACTACCACATCTCACCACCACACTATCATCATTCCAAAGGGTAATGGTTTAAAAACCAGAACATATCTCGCAAAGCAAACTACTAGCAACTGAGTTGGATGAGACAGAGGTACCCAACAACCCTCATAAACAAAAAGATAAACAACAATCATAAATGCAAATATCTATTTATTTATTCTTTTCCCAGTACGTATGTAGATATATTATCCTAATTCAATATAAGATCGATGCATCGAATGCCAGTAATTGCGGGCAGTCCTTTCGCTTCCAAATATGCTAATCGACACTGAAATGTACACTCGTTTGTGTATCGTCGGCTGTCAGAGGCACATATAGGGTCATATTGAGGGGTACAATAGCAATATACTTCAGCCCAATCCACCTGGGCCCTGGCGACAGCTGCTGATAATGCTACAAATACAATTAATACTGGAACAGAACGATAATAAAAATATATACACCATTATTTACTGAGAGCGTCATAGCCTACTGACCATTGTGACTCTTAGACCTAGAAAAAGGATCTAATGGTCGTAAAATACTAAATATGAGTAATTAATTCAAGAGACTGTGATACAATATTAATTCAAAGCATTATAAAATTCATATTAATTAAAAATATTCAAAATTAAGTGGTCATGTTATCATCAGTGGTCAGGTCATCTATTTGTACCTATTAGTTTGTCTCTAAATTAATTTGTAACTATATACAGTACCTACTTAACCGATGTTTAATTGTTAACCGATTTTGACGGGACATTCACTCGTAGATAGTTAATTTTATAGGCTACTTTAATTTATTTTAATCGAAAATGTAGTTATATTATCGGATGAAATCGCGGGTAATAACTAGTTTAAAATAAATTAAGAACATATCTCGGAAGATAAAAAAAAAAATAGTTCCCTAGAAAGCTAAGGAAAACAAATAACTTTGTAGTCATTTAAATATATGCATTAATAATGCATACACACCTACGTCTTTAAATTAATAATGCTTGAATTTCTAGTAATATAGTATTACTATAATATGGTTATGACACAAGAATGAGGTGACCAATATGTCATCGGCATTATTAATATTACAAGAAATTTCTAGTGTTGTTCAATATTACCTTGGTATTCTTTTAATAATTAATTTCATTGAAAGAGCAATAATGACAGCATAATATGACTAAAATATGTACAAGGAAATGTATTTATTTTAGATAAAGATGTGCAATGTAAACACTATATCGTAGTAAGCAATTGTAGGTGGGTACTGCATCATATTTACGTAAAAGGATGTAAATTAATAACAAAAACACATCACAGGTTAAGAGAGAGGGAGGTGTCGACAAAGTATCACATTTTTTTATCTTGTTTGAATTTAGTTAGTTATTCTATAACACTATATTGGAAAATTATAGTCCTAAATCAGGGAGGAGGAGAGATAATGTTACTGAAATTGGTGTGTTGAATAGCTGGTTATGTTTGATAGTATGGATAGCTGTAACTTTTTACTATTTTATTCGCTGTACCATAAATAGCATCTCATGCAAAATAATCTGAATTAATTAGAACGAATTATAAAGTTGATGTTCCAATTTGCATTATTCACGGAAAATCATTTTCCCATTCAGTATTTATGTAATGTTTAATCTTTGTTGTATATATGTTTGACAAAAAAATAGTAAGTTACAAAATAAAGTTTATTTATTAAGAATATTGCGCAGACAAAAAATTTTGAGTTTGTTCTTAACAGATAAATAAAAATACATAGATAATTGTTGGAATCTTAATA